GCAGATGAATGTGAAAACATCCCTGTAGTGTCAAACACACACATCATTCTGTACGGTTAGGATTAAACATCCAACTGTAGGCACAAGAAGAAACACAGATTTTTGAGTTGAAGGGGACACTTCAATCAGTGCTGTGTGCTTTAGATAACCAAAAAACAGAATATAGTATCTAATCTGGATGTTATAAAGCGTTCAACATGGATTTTCAGTATAAAAGAAAGAAGGTCTCAAGAATTATACACATAATTATAAACTGACAACTGACAACAATTTCTGCTCATTTATCTCTCAGGTTTTTTCTTCTTTATATACAGTTTATTCTTTTTAATTTCTAACTTTGCTTCAATCCTAAACTGTGGACACACCTTTGTTTTACCACCTTTAATCTACAGGAGACAAACTGAGTAAACCAAAGACAGCAGGTGCACATAGAACAACAGGAGTGATATCATGTTTTTTCTTCCCCTTCTGCAGCCCAGTGAGCTCCAGTGTTTTTGCCCCATGCACATGCAGGGACATTGATTGGAGAGCGATTGCTGTGTGAGTGACTGGTGTCCTGCCCCGAGGCTGCAGCAATGCATCACTCCACACTATCCAGTCACATGCAGAGAGAGAAAGAGAGAGAGATCCCTCACTGTAACACAGCCTTAAGCCTCGGACACACACTGGAGACATGAGAGGGGAGAGGTCTCACAGAGTTTAACCAGAGTCACACAGCTGGTGAGCTGTTTTTGTCCTGGCAGTTAAAGTTGCCTCTAACACCGCAGATGTCCCTCCAGGAGGTTGCATTTGCAACAATTAATGCAAATTCAACCAATTCCACTAGATTCTGCAGCAATTTTGTCCAAACTAGGCAAATTTTCTCGCAAATTTGACCAATCATAGCAGTCCCCTGTGGGTTGAGCCATGGGCACCAAAATACTAACACTTTTATTCTCACTGGGACAAGTTTCCTTCAATTTTTAATGAATTATACCCCAAATTTTCATTGTTGTTTTATTTTTTAGAAAAGGTGTCATGTAATCAGACATTTTAAGCTGCAACAATCCCTAAAAAAAAAAAAGCCTGTGAGATCCTTATTAAACCTTATTGTGTTAACAGCTTCATCATCATTTACTTAAACACCTCCTCATTAACTGAAACTTTGTTCTTAAACTGAACATAATAATCCCACTGGTGCAACCGGATTACATGTTGAAATAATGATTATTTCAACATGGAATTCATACATAAATGATCACAAGTCTGTTATAATGAAGCAGTGATTAAAATAAACACACCAGTGGCTGCACCTTTAAAATGCACCATTACACATTTAATGATAATTGCTAATAATTTCTCTTCCCCCCTCCTGCAGAGTGTTAATGAGATGACTGACCTGCTGTTAAATTATGCTCTTAAATTTCCTGTGGATGCTGCGCTGCCTGCTGCTGCGGAAGCAGCGGGGCAGTGAGCAGTGAGGCAGTGAACCTCCTCCTCCTCCTGGTCAGCCAGTCAGCCCAGCAGCAGCCACTGGAGCCGCACGCACCAGCGCGTCTATGGGACACTGAGGACTTCATCTGGCTGCACCGGACACTGGTTTATTCAGCGCCTTCGTTTCCTTTTATCGGTCTGTTTTTGGGGTTTTTATTTTTATTTTTTCAAAATCTTTCAATTCGGAACTTTTTTTGAGGCTCGTTTTCATTCAGAAACTTTCACTTATGGTTCGCGATTATGGGGTCAAGTTGTGGTTTCTCTCGGGGAAACGTGGCTGTGCTGCTGCTGTTGCTGCTGCTGAAAGGTAAGGATCATCACCAGCTTTATGGGTAGACTCATGCTCAAGATGAAGTTAAATATATTGCACTGAAGTGTGTTTGTAAGTGTCTGTGTATGCAGAAATATAAGAATTTGTTTCTCTAGAGTCTTTTTAGATATTTTAAATTGTATTTTTCTTTCAAAGTTGCCCTGTTCAAGACATTATCTGTTAGTCTCACAGCATCAGTTTTTGTTTCCTTCATCTCTTGCTCTGCTGTCAGTCAGAAAGCCAATTACTGGTGGTGTGAGCACAGCAGGAACTGAAATATGTTTGGTTTGGGATGCACTTTAAATTCACTAAATTTACGATTCTCTGCGACAATAATGGGATGGTGGGAGGGGGAGGAGGGAGGAGGGAGGAAGATGAAAAGAAGAGAAAATGAAGAGAAATGCAGAGAGGAAAGGATTTCTGAGCTACTGGACCTGAAGTCTACATGGCAACTGACAAACACACGTGAAATTGGCTGTTAATGCAAAGATAAATTGGTTTGAAAAAAAAATAAAAGAAAAATTGCAACATCTTGGAGCTTTAAGGCTTTTTCCAAGAAGTGTCTGAAATGGCACGAACACAATGCCAGCACTGTTTGGTGCAGCAGAAAGTGATACTTGCATTGTGCGCTGGCTGTTATGCGTGGTATGGCACATTGGAACCTAGAGTCAAATGAATACAGCCATATATCATAATATTATAATCCCATTCACAATCCCAGAGCCCAACTGTACCAACACTGTCCTCACATGCAGTCTATATTTAAAGTGTCTCTCATAGCTCAGGAGTGTGCAGATCTCAGTGTGTGTCAGATGTGATGCTTGGACAAATATAGGCCATTGTGTGGAATTCCTCAATTTGTTTTTGCACTTGAAAGTTAAACTTAAACAGAGGTTACTCTCGGTGCTTTTCATCCGGGGGTGTAGAGTGCAAAAGTGAGATTATCGTCATCTTTTTATGTGAAAAATGTGTACATTTCCATGCCTGCAAAAGTGGGTTTACAGTACCAATAAACTACAGCCCCGTACGTAATCGCCCAAGGGAGCAGTTTCCTGCAGTGTTGTTAAAATGATTAATGAAAATTTTAAGGTGCCACAGTATGTATGCAATGTTCTCTGCTTATTTTTCATTGTGACAGACAGTGTAGGTCTCAGTGCTCAGGGGCTGCTGAGAGATGTAGATTCACATCACACTTACAGTAGATGCTCCTATCACACAGCCTACATACATTCACAGCTCTGCTTCTGCCGCCACCGAAGCAGGCATCTCTCCTGATATTTATAGACGACCACAGTTAGTTGGATTTCATATGTCAAGGGCGTGATGGTAATTAAATGGGTGCTGAAATGTACACCCTACGTAAACGCGGTGCTCCTCACCTACCTGTTTGTTGCAACAAAAGACCTACACTTGTTCAGAGAGGAGGAGACGCGAGCTGCAGGCAGGTGTGCAGCAGCTGCTCCTATCTCTGGGCAAACACTGGCTGTTTGTTTTCTTTAGGAAAATATCGCCTGTTGTACAAGTGCACACACCGTTCAGATTGCAGGTCAGACGTTAGCTGCTATGAAATGACACATCAGATTGATTTTGCTGCATATGTTCAAGGTGATGGTTTTTGGAGGATGTTCTGCGTCATTACAATATCACCATTTCCTCACTTATAGCTCTCTTCTTCAAGTTATTAAAGTAATTGATCAAGTTGGGATCCACTTTTTGTATCACACGGCCTCCAAATGTGAGTTTTCATTACAGTTCAAGTCCCTGAGTATTTGTTAGAATCTAAGGAACGGTTGCAGGTGTTTGTTTAGATTGTAGAAAACAAAAGATGCCACAGTAAGTTTGGTAATTCACGTAATTATAACCAGGTTACAGGTTACTCATTAGTTTGGTAAACAAATGAAATTGGCAATCAGAGTTCACTATAGGAGCAATCAGCATTTTTAAATGTGGTTGCACTTATGAGTAGAAGAAGTAAAAGCAGTCGAAGACGTGAATTAGAGTGAATTGGAGGCTTTTTGTTTGTGAGATCGGTGGCAGTTGGGATGTTTGAGAAGATCCAAGCAGCTGTTCAGTCATTGCCTCGCTAAGATCTGAACTTTTAATGTCATGGAGGAACCACGTGGACCTAGATAGCTTTTTAAAATGACTTTTGATGTTTTAAAATGGAGACTGGCGATTGAGAATGAAGAAGGCCTATGGGCCCGGTGGCTTCGCAGAGGTAAACAAAATGTCTTGAGTTGACCTTTTGTGTCTACACCTAGTGAAAGCCTTCATTGAAATTAACCAAATCCTCTTAACAGACACTTCTGTGTCATCCATCACTTCCCCCGCGAAGAGCCACAGATGTTTTCCCATAAAAGCATCGACCCGTTTATCTTCCACCATGACCTTGCTACTGTAGCTTTGACCCTGCTTTGCCCTCCGACCTTTGAAACCTTAACCAAGTAGTAATCTCCAGTGATGACCCCTCCATCCCAGAGGAGGCCATGTTTGCAGCCTCTTTAGCTCCTCGCATTAGAACGACCATTTTCATCAACATCTTTTGCTTTTGAGAAGGACCAGACCAATAAATCTCATTTGTTGCATGCTGCTATTTGATTTAGCTCCTTATTACATTATATGATTTAGGAAAGCTTCTGTCTTGTGCTGCCTATGGATGCATCATAAATCTTGTCAATTTTCTACTCTTGCTGTCACTACGTCTCTTTTAGTATAATTGCAAAACATCAAGATACAAGTTGTTTGCTGCAGAGTTTATCTTTTATATTAAATTGTGCAAACAGCACACCTTCTCTTTGTTTCTTAAGGAAGAAAAAAACTTCTCTGTGGCTTTCTGTCAAAGCTGTTAGAAGCAGAAAGGAGTATTTTGATTGCTTATCTATGGGACTGACACAGGGGATATGCTTTTGGTGTTCAGTTATTTAGAGTTTATTGATTTTTTAAGAAGAATGTGACATACAACACATGTGCTATAAAACCACAACCATCTGGCCTGAGCTTCCCTCCACTCATCTCAACCCTAAAGACTACAAATACTGAGAAAATATTCCCCCAAAATCAAGGTTAACATCAAAAAAAGAAGTTAATGAGTAACAGTAAACATGCTGCATGCCACAAATCTTTATCAGAATCAGAGCAGTGATGCAGCAGTTTCAGCCTTTCAGAGTTTTGACATTTTGACTTTCAATTATAGCTTCTCCTTTTTGCCAGCTTGTGCAAGTTTTAATCACCAAAAATGTTGGCAAAAAATGCATCATCCCATTAAGTTTTTGAACCAAACTGGACCAGTAAGTTATGATGGAGGGACCTTATTACAGCCCAACCTCCAACTCTGCACTGTTGCTTCTGCTGCTGCTGCCGTTACATGGATGCTGCTCCTACCTGTCAAAGCTCTCTGCCTGATCCTGTAGTCAGTTCAGGGTCACACTTCCCTCTCATGCACGGGGTAGAATCTAATTTGCTGTGGTGAAAGGACAAGGAGACATTGATTGAAATTTCGCCCTCGGGGCATTTAGCCCTCTCCTTTCACATGGGTCTTGACAAGTTATTTTCCAGTCGCCTAGCGGTGCACACTGTGTTTGACCCATCGTTTACGGCAATGAGCGAAACAAAGACGGGGCTTAGTTCGACTCCAACTGGATGTGCGTTAACGTGCAGTTTTAAAGGTGCAACAGCTTTAAACATGACCATATAAGTAGCTTATTAATAATTACTGTGGAAAAAATAAACAACAGGGGACAGATTTAGCACATTTTCTACACCAGCCCCACCCCGGCATCCCTCTGACTCCATTTGTTTGATCCTTCACTTTACTGAAGTGGGCAAACATGTTGGAAATTATTTTTCCGCCGGGCCTTTTTAGTCCCACCACCACCTGCCAGAGCCAGAAACTCTGAAAGCTTCACGTCCATTTGTGCTGGAAGATCAGCGCCTCCATTCCCCTGCTATAAAGCAATGTCCCTGCCTTTTGTTCCATAATGTAATCCATCAGATTCTCACACACAGCGTAACGAGCAGCACAGAGCTGGTTTTGGCTTCAGGTGCTGATATCTCACAATTAAACAATTTCAGGTATCTCTACTTTACTTGAGTATTTATTTTTCTGACAACTTTTTACTTTTACTCTACATTTTTACACAAATATCTCTACTTTCTACCCCTTACATGTTCAAACAGGCTGGTTTAGTTTGAATGTATTTAAGTGGAATTATCTTTTATTATTATTATTATTTGCATCATTGAACACATGACGAAACAGACAACAGTCGGTAGAAATGTCCTTCAGAGAATGAGTACATTTTACTTGTATACTTTAAGTACATTTCAGAGCCTGTTAAATCAGTACTTTTACCAGTCTTTGTATCTGTACTTCTACGTTAGTACTTTTGCTAATGTGCTAAAGATTTAATGATGCTAATAGACCCACAATGAATACATTTTATATTTCAAGTGTTTATTTCATTAGTATGACACCTCTTGATAATATGCGGTATGTGTAAGGTAGTAGGCCCATGTTTGCCTGCTTTTAGCCATGCTAGCAGGGTGACTTTAGGGATAGCTGTGTTGCTAAAATATCTCAATAAATAACAGTTACTGGACGAGTTGCCATGAAATTGTGTACAGATATTTATCAGCATAAGAGGATGAATCCTGGTGACTTAAATGATCCCCTGACTTTTTATCTATCATCAGATGAACATTTTAATTTGTCCAATACTTTGGTTTGTGATCAAATACCTGCAAAACTAATGACAGTCCCATCGTTGTTAGTTATATGTAGTTCCTGGGCGGAGGCTAAACATCCCAGTGTTAGCACTGTTATTGTGTTAGCACAATGTTGCTGCACAAAGCACTGTTTCCTTACAGTCTCACAGAGCTGCTAGCATTAATGTAGACTCTGACAAGTTGTGAAGGGTTTCTCTTCCATTTTGTTTATTTATTTATAAGGACAATGTACATTAATCCATATTTCTGTAAATGTGCTTGTGTTAGCAAAC